GTCTTTCCAGCTGTATGTATTTCTCGTATCTGTATGCTGGATGTATATGCAAATTTTCATAAAGTCGAGACATATTATGCGCGCTAAAATTAAATTATCCCGATTTGCTGATGAAGAAAAGCAAACGTATCTTGAGGTGTTGAGTTACGAAAATTCAAGATATCAGTATCTTTTGGGTTATAAATATTAAAAAAATCCTTTTTCATTCATTAATTTTGAATCGCAGACGTCGCACACGCAGAGATGCATTGCTCCGATGTTAACACAAATATTTTGTATCATTCCAAAAAAAAAAAAAAAAAAGAAAAGTCTGTAGAAACGGAACTACGACGCGACGCGAAAAGTTCGTCATTATACTTTCCGAATGCAGGAAATGATATGGAAATATCCAAGGTACGCGTTCTACAGCGTACACACGTAGGCATGCGCATATACATATTCTCATTCTCCCTTTTGCTAAGCTGTCCCGCTTGCAAATAATACGGGTATGTTGCTCGCATCGCGGCGTGGCGCGGCGCGCATAACGTGAAAGCTCAGCAAAATCCCATATAATATGGTACGTAAATTTTCCGAGCGAACGGCTTCGGCGCGTCGACACCGTTGTCGTTATTGTCGAGATGTGTGCGAGAGCTGGTACATAGGAAGAGAGAGAGAGAGAGAGAGAGAGAGAGAGAACTCCTCTCACTCTCTCACTTTCGCCTCTGCAGCAGTAGCAGCAGTCAACGAAGCCGACACTTGGCATGCGCTTTCGCGCGCGCGCGCCTCCTGGCCAATCGATACTTCTCCCTTGCCTATGCCGCCCATTTCTTCTCGATTCTCGGAAGTTTTCAAAACAGTTTCACTTTTTTACCTAATCTAATGTGTGAATATTACCTGGTACATGGGGACATTTTTCAACTTTTTCAACCACCGAAACAAGATTGATCAAGTTTTTTGCGAAAAGTTGATGAACTTTCACTGCAGTTATTGAATTTCGAAGATGATGTCATAATAATCAATACTTGATACGGGCACTATATGATAAAGCTGCAAAGGATTAAACTGGTCGCAGAGAAGCTGGCAAATTATTTTATTTTAAACTTGAAAAAAGATTGAGCAATTCAATTTAACCAAAATGGTAGAGTAAGATTTTCTTTTTTATAACTTTCTAAAATACACTCAGATCCTATATATGAATTGAGCACTGCAGAGAACATTAACCTCGTTGTCGTAGTTTAATGTCCAATCTCTTTCCAATTCAAAAGTAATGTATAAAAATGTTTTGCTTTTATCTGGTCGTCTTACCGAGTCAACTATATTCTCGATATAGAAGCAGCAGCGACTCTGGTATCTTTCATCGGTTAGCGAGGCCTTCGATATTTTCACAGACAGCAGCAGCAGCCCCCGCATCGTCGTAGTCGCACTTATAGCTATATAAACTTTCTAGCCGAGCTTTTTCTCAAAGTGTCACGCGAAGCTTTTCAATTACTGCTACGGGACCCGTAGAGCAGGAGTAGCGCGTGGACGCACAGGCTCTCCGCTGCCGAGCGAGGCGCGCAATGCGTTTATTTATTGAATTTCGAAAGAGCGAGAAACCGTTTCACTTTTGATTTCTTAGTCACACCCTGTACTCGATGCCTCGAGCTCTTCAACTCAGTTTCGTGCTTTCAATACGTTTTCTTTTTGCTCTCGCCGTCTCTCTTTCTCTTTCTTGCGTCTGCGACCATCCGATACAATCTCTTTCACTTAACGTCTTTCGAAAATAACTTCGCGCGCAATTTCATCAATTTCGTTTCAAAAGAGAAAAATCATTTTCCATTTATTCTTTGCGATAAATCAGGCTAATCATCGATACGTCCGTGCTCGACGAAGCGAACGGATTGTTATCGGGCGACGGTAGAGCTTTTAGAAACGTAAACAAAAGTGCGAACTCTTCTTAGCCCCTCGACACACGAGAGTGGCTAATGAAATGAATTTCTCGCATACGCGTGCAAAGAAGCGTATAGATATAGGGTGGTAGCGAGCAGGCGATGGAAAACGTCGAAAGTGAATTCGAGCATTGGAACTCAGGGTCGAAAAGGAGGTAAACGAACCCTCTTCGTCTCTCCCACCCTTTGTATCATGTATTTCGAGCGTTCCACACATACTTTAATTTTCGCTTTTACTCTCTCTCTCTCTCTTTCTCTCTTTTGGTCCGTCCATCCGTGCATGCGCACCCGCCGTGCGTGTACAGCTAGTGAGTAAGTCTAGTCTTTTTCTGTCGCTCCTCCATTCTCTGTCGCTATCTAAGGCAAGTTTTTGTTCTTGCGGCGAGAGTTAATCCCTGTACAGATATATATACATGCAGCCAACCACAGACGTTTTTCTTTTATTTTTGCTTCACCCTTGCTGAGCAGTAGAGTCGCGCGAGTGTATAGCGCACCACCTATGGCGCAGGAGAATGGAGCTCTTCTGCCAACTCAATCCTATTTTTCCCCTCTCTCTCTCTCTTTCTCTCTTATTCTGGAGCTCTTCCTTTCTCACGCTCGCGGGGTTCCCTCCCATTTTTTTTCCAACACTGACTTTTTCCGCCAGCTCTCATTCTCTTTCTTATATTGCGTGCATTCTTTTGCGAGGCCTCTCTATAACAGTCTTTTTGTTATACCCTGCTCGGCGCTGCGTTGCTGCTACCACTGCTCACGGTAAGTACTTTTCTTTAGATTTCGCACTATTTGGCGTGTGGTCTTTTCACTTTAGGGCTCGCTGTCTCTCTTTCTCTATCTTTCTTCCTCTTCTTCTCTTTTTTCCATCGAAGAATGGGAGGAGTACAAGAATAAGAGGTCATCGCAACAAGCGTAGATATTTACGACGAAAAGACTTTCGTCGAGTACTCACTGCTTTTGTTTATTATGAGTCTTCTTGGCAATTTACCTTTGTGACTGTTTTAAGTGACCGAACAATTTGGCAATGCCGCTCGAGTTCCAAGTTTCTATTCATCTTAATTTTTTTAACATTAATAATCTCTTAAATGAATGTAATTACCTTTTTTTCTGAAATGAAACCGGTCAATTTTGGAGGAAGATATAGTACTGACGGAACATATGTTCACAAAATAGAATACTCGACTCTTAGGAGTCGAAGAAGTTTTTAAACATATGATAAACTCAGGAGTACGTACTATAAACAACCACGTAAAAAAATTGAATGGAAATATGAGCCATATCACGTCAAGTCGCCAAAGGCTAGCCCGCGTGGCATTATTAGGTGAAATCCCAAAACTTCTAACTCGCTGTAAAAGTACCTCGCTGTAAATGCATCTAGAAGAAAAAATAACCTACCATTTCCATGGAAAATTACCTTAGCTTTTCGATGGTGGGGTCAGATTTTCGAAAATTTTGCGTATTACTCGGAGTCTAGATCAAAAGGGGAGGAAATTTTCTATCGAAATTGCTATTTTTCAGAAGACCCTTTTTGGATTTTAGGGAAACATAGCGAAAGAAAGAAGAAAAAACGTGGTTTATGCGCGCACTGCGCCGGTGGAACATACAAAAACTACAAAAAAGGAGTCATGATTAAATTTGTTCACAATACGTTTACATTTAATTCCTTGAAATCCCAAATTGTTTTTGACTTCTTCATCACTGAGGTAAGGTTTCGGTGTAAAAGTGTAATACTTTATATGTTGCTTGTCCAGACTTTGTTTAAGTGTCTTGTAGTCAGTGGTCGATTGGGTAAAAACTCTCAGCCCATTGTTTACTAATTGTGTGGTAAAATCGCTTCTTTAAATTCTTCTAAGCGCTTCTAAGTTTTCTTGATAAGTCTTGTGGGCTTCTGGTATAGTTTCAGGTGGTAATTTTTTTTTAATGACTATTTATTTTTTATCATTGTTGGCATGCCTTTCTATTTGTAAAGCAAGTGATCGCAGAACGAAGACTACAAGTACCCTGAAGAAATGATTCTCTCTTGCGGGTACTTCTTCTTTCCGATGCTGCGTCACCTGGCGGTCGGACTTGCAACTCCGAAAATAGAAATGGGAGCAGGACAAGAAATTGATAAGTTGAGTAGTTGATTTGACTAAGTTCACTATTAAAATCATAATTGTCTCTAAGCCTCATTCTTAGAAATCGTTTGGCTCAATTTTGATATAAGAGATGAATGTGCAGTGCACTCTTATTTATTATATTATGACAAAAATTAATAACAATATCATAACAAAAACGTATATAAATTATTTTGCGTTTCAACCATAATTCGAAGTTTGGAAAGGAAGGATAATGGAACGTAATCTTTCAATTAAATCTCAGCGTACAAATTAAAACTATTATTGTGTTGATGAATTAGAATTTGAAAGTCAAAAAAAGTCAATTACAAATTTTCATCGGTAATAATTGGTAGCTCATTTGCTGCAGCTTTTCTTTGTACAATTTTTTTAGTCATAAAATGAGCTTTTAGAACAGCAGCATATAATTAAATGAAAACTTCAGCAACACAGAGAGAAAGTAGAAATTTGTATCATGTCCTGCATTTATTATCTCAATTTTGACCTCCAGACATATTCTTTGGTATACATTTCATCACTTGAATAAATGTAGCCGAGATTTTTCTATGATGCATTCTATTTTTGTCTCAAAGTACTTTGTGAAGTTTTTTCCTTTGAAAATTACTAATGTTCATTCGGAACAAGTTATTCTTCTATTAAAGAGCTTCAAAAACAGCAACAAAATTTGTCTAAAAAACTTTTTAATGAAATCTTTGTTGAACATGTTTTGTAGTTTGATAAGAATGGAAATCTCAAAAATCATTTAGTTTAAATAAGACATTTTTTCAGGTTAGTCGCAGTATGTACGACCGCATATTGGGATGTTCTACTGAAAAAGTCGTTTCTTCTTTGTAATAATACGAAAAGAAAGAATGGAAATTTTCCATTTGAAGACCGTACAATACGGTCTAGCCAATCGATAACCTGATATTCAGTGGCAGAGGTGCAAACGAGGTATATCTACTGTTATAAGATGTGTGTATATATAGCATCATAGACTTACATTGTACGTCGAGGAGTATGCTCGCATTCATGGGCATAGTGAGAGTAATGTGCCTCGCGACGCAGATGATTGTGGCGTTGTGGTGTCCCCTGAGGACCTTGAGACTGGCGCTAGTGCGAACTGGCGAAGTCACCGGCAGAATCGTCAGATTATCCGGCGGCTGCTCGGGACCTTCGAGCGTCGCCTGAGACAGAGTCATGCCCCAGGCCAGGATGGGCGGCGGATTGCCACCCTCGGCGGCGCACTCGAGAGTCAGCTCCGAGCCCTCCTTCACCGGGATGAACTGGTTGCCCGGATCGAGGCGACGCCCGTCTATCATCAGATACGTACCTCGTGGGGCCTCTGCAAAATAAAAAAAAAAAGAAGTTAGCTCAATGCGTGCGTATATCGAGTAGATGTATACAAAGGGAGCGCATTGCATATATTAGATTTGGTGGGTTTAATTTGATGTCTCGAGCTTTACGGTTTGGTCGGATTAAAATTCAATTCAAACGAAAGATCTTGTTGGAGGAAGAAAAAAAAGTTGCGCAGAAAATCCGTCGAAAATCGAGGATTCTTTATACATCGAGCAATATAGACGAAGCTCGGTTAAATCACGCGCTTCAGTAGTCAGTAATCATCCAGCTTTCTTGCGGCAAAAGTACGTGTACGAATGTCAATTTTAGTCTGCGCGAGCTCATCTCTTTCTCTCGACTACAGCTCGAGTCGCTCTTATATCTATATGTTAGAAGACTGTACGTAGGATAGAACCCGACAACTATATGGCATCAACTAGCATTGCTACTACAATTAGGTATACTCGCGCTTCTCTCTCTCTCTCTCTCTCTCTCTCGTCGTAAACTTTGCGGACGCGGAATAAAAGCCGTCGCCGTCGTATATATACTCGCGCAGGCTCGTTCTCCACCTCCTTCTCTCTCCTCTCTTGCTCCTTCGACTTTGCAGCTTCCCAAAATGGCTTTTGCCTTGTTATATGCTCTATTCATGTTCTGCGCGCGCGCGTATATCGTCGTAGTCGTCGTCGTCGTGTGTATACGTATATATACGACAAAGAGTGCATGCCTGCCTTCGCGGCCACAAAGACTCCATAATATAAGTTGTATACTCGCGAGCGCGGAGCAAGCTCACTCGAATGTTTGCCGCGCGCGCGTCGGCAAAAGTTTTAAGGACTTACTTTGAATCGACAACGATTCGAGACTCACTGCTGTGTTATATATGTGTACGTTTGTGGCTACGTATGTATGTACGATTTTCAAGAGGCATACGTATATAATATACACACCTACACAGACAAGACTGTGTGTGTATTGCGATTAATAAAGTGCGACGAAGCTAAGCCACTATGAAAATTCAATTTAGATCTCGGGGCGATATAGGACACTCGCCTCCTTGCGCCATATAATGCAATGGCTTTCTCTCCTATGTACGTATATATAATATTGTGCGCGGGGAAAATCGAATATTCCGTATATAGGCATTATATTATCGTGATTCGAGGTATATATCAGTGGATTGCTCACTCAGCATATGTATGTAGTGGTAGTATGGATCGCGGCAGTATAACGAGAGGCTGTTATACGTATATATCCACACTGAGCAGCAGTAGCCGCACGCACACACTAACCAACGTCTCTACGCGCGGCTCTAATCGTAAATCAATATCTCCGGCCTATCTTGCTATTAATTCCGGATTACCGAGTGCAGTACATGATTTCAATGCAAAGACGAGGCGCTCCAGAACGATGACTACTACGACGACGACGACGACGACGACGACGACGTCGAGAGCACTGGCCTCGATTGTTAAACTATTTTTCATCGGACCTCGTTCATTTATTTCCCCGTTACTTACGTGGACATTGTGCCTGATTTGTTTTATCGATTTTGAATCTCGTAACATCTATAGTCAACCATAACGTCTAAAGTCAACACGGTACCATTAGTTACATCACACCTCTGGCCTCGACTCGTATAGCGCAACGGCTAAGTAGCGTCATTAGCCCATAGTGCCTGTAACCGCTAGGTGTATATTAGCAACGAAGGTGAAGCCGAGTAGACGAACAAGCGACTAATGTCGCAAAGTCAAACTCAACTTTGATTATTTACTCGAATCGATGGATTATAAACGAAAAAAGATGAGAAAAGCTCGAGGATACAAATTGAAAAGACCGATCGATAAAGCGACTCGATGAAATGCAGTTTTGGAAGAAAACAAAATATATATAAATCGCGGAGAGGAGAATCTGCAGTAGCAGCAGATACGGCGCGCGCTCGCGATTATAAAACAGAAGAAGGACGTTTCCAATCGAGAGGGCGTGCTGCGCGCGCGTTAAAGAATTTTATGTAACCTTATAAGTATATAATAAAAAAAATGCGCGAGAGCGCCTCGAGTTAACGATGCCGGACGATTTTTTTGACACTAACGTGCGGGCGCGGGATCTCCCATTTCTCAGGTCAGTCGTAGTATACCAGCTAGAGACGAGAAAAAAAAGAAGAGAGAGAGAGAGAGAGAGAGAGAGAGAAAATTTTATTTTTATATTCAGCTAGCTGCGAGCTCGCTTTACAAGTTTGTGCCGTATAAAGCTGGGCAACATTTTAGCAACGCTCGTGCATTGTCAAAAAAGTCTCGCGTGCTCCACAGCTTTCTCTCTTGGCTCTCGGGGTCAGGTGCAGCGCGCGCGCGTGCACATACACCTGTTTATCGCGACGTGGCTAATTTCCACGCCCGCCTGAGCAACGACAATGAGCGAATTTTTTTTTTCTTTCGTATTACTCTCTATAGTCACGTGCGTCAATTAAAATGTTCAGCAAGTGTCAAAACGTTATATACACGCGTCGAGGAAAAAAAGCGCTAAACGCGCGAGGAAAAAAAATTCTCCGCTGTCGCCGTTGCTACTGTAGCTCTCTCTCTCTCTCTCTCTCTCTCTCTTTCTCTGTGCAATGGCATCGGAGAAAATGAAATGCCATTTTTTATGCCCCTATGTGGCAAATGGAATTTAAAATACTCGCGCATTGCCCCGGTGTACGTGTACGCGCGCGTGAGCTAGAGCTCGCTGCAGATCTAGCCCGAGTGTGCAAGTAGTAGTCTACGTGTGTAGCTGCTAGTATGCAGTCTCGCTTCTCCATATATACATGCACACACATATCCGACTGCAGGTGATAAACGAGCGAGTGGAAGTACATTCACGCATCTGGAAAGTCGTATGTATTCGCGCGCACACCAGCCGACCGCATACCTGTATGTGTGCGCGTACAGCTCGTCACACTTACTCGGCGTCTCTTTTCACTCTCTCTCTCTCTCTCTATCTTTTTTTCTTCTTTCTCTCTCTCTTTCTTATTAGATGAGCGAGTGGAAGAGAGAAAGAAAAGTGTAAAAGAGCAAAAGAAAATAAGAAAAGTCCAAGTTGCAACACAAATGTATCACGAGGGAGGAGAAAGAAAGAGGCAGTGAGACAGATATAAGAATTTGTAGGAAAATGAATGTGTGCGTAATAGTGGCGGCAGTAGTCGTAGTAGATATGGTAACGCGAGGATGCGAGCGAGTTAAAAAAAGAAAGAAAGAAGGGAGTAAAAGAGATAGAAAAGAGCTGGCGGGAAGTGGAGATTCAACTCGTACCTAAAAATTCAAATACATATATCTGCAGCGTTGAAAAAGTCGAGAAAAATTATTCGCTTTTATTTTCGCTCACACGCACGCGCACATACTAGACTCACGTAGCGTATAGAGCGCACAGAAAGAAGTAAACGCTCTCGCTCTATACGTCTGTGTATATCGAGACTGCGGAGAGACGTATTATTCTGATTAAAGCATAAGAAAAAAGGGGAAGCAAAAAAAACTCAAGCTCGGTGAAGTACATAGTCTAGTGGTTCTATGACAAGACCGCACACGTATGACAGACGCGTAGCTCGTCTATACGTGTGCATCTTGAAACTTGCATATTTTTATAATATCCGTACGTGGGATGTACAAAAAAGTCTCCAGAAGTGAGAGAGGGAGGATGATAATGCACAGCCGAGCTTTCATAATAATGAACCAACAAAAAGACATTAAAAATTTTCAAAAGCTGAAGTTTACTAGAGTTCAGAAGCACGCGCGCATTCATGCACACATACAATATTTTGTCATGAAACGAGTGAAAGTTCAATAGCATTGCGCGCAATTCGCGCGTTCTTATTCAAATCCCAGAACGGAGCTTTGCAACTTTTCATCGACGACTATACACACACGCATACACGTTGTGCACGAGCGAGATGACGACGGAAAAGAAAGAGGAAAAATCGATCGGCTGTACCTCGTTGTCCTGCTTTTCGGTTCGTATCATTTTTTTTTTGTCGAGGCAGCTAGCGCGCATATATGTGTGTGCACGTTTATCTGCTGTATGTATAATTTGAAATGGGCGTCTTCGCATATTCGTCGATGTTTGTTGGGGTCGTCGTATGTGCCTCGCGCAAAACGATTTTCATGCACGAACAAACAAGACCTGTCGATGCAATGTCTCTCGTTAACATCTTATCTTCAGCTCTCTCGTTCGCTTTCTCCATTTTCTGCTCTCCTCGGGTGGGTATATTGCGTACGTCTGTGTGTACAATACACATCGAGATAGCAAGGAGCAGCAGCAGATGTACAGCGGCGTATGTATATACGTATACACGTGTATATACGAGCTGAGCGAACGCGCAACGAGAGCCTTTCGGAATGTTCTCTGAGTTTGGCAAAATCCCTAAGGCGACTTTGGGACGAAGCAAGAGATATTTTACGCAACAGAAGCAGAAGCAGAAGCAGAAGCAGCGGTAGCAGTGATTGCGAGCATAGAGAGAAGTTTCTAGCCACGCTAAGGTAAGCCAGTATAGAGAGAGAGAGACAGACAAACGCCACTGCGCGCACAGACAAATAGTATTAAGATGCCGTATACAACGGAGCACGAGGCAGATACAGAGATGATGCGGTTTCGTGCTTGATGTATGACGCGCGCCCCCGCGTGTACGAGCTTTACCAAACTCTCACGAATCATCGATCGCGAATAATGTCTCGTTAATGTCGCTCGGTGCATTATATACGACGTGTACTGCATCATCAGCGGCGGCTCGAGTTGCTCACTGCTCGCAGCACAGCTGATCGTTTAATGAATTAGTATTCCGCGAGCGGCTCGGACCAGTGTATCGCGCGGGCGCGCCTCGCGTCATTACATCACGATGACTCGTTGATCGACACGAGTACGGATCCCAACTATATGGACCCCCTTCATCCGCGAGATGAATAACAATGCAAAGTATCGTAGATGCAGACGATGCGACGTCGAGGCAAAAATTTACGTCATTAGAGCGAACAAAAACAAAGAGAAGAGACTCGTAGTTCTTACGATCGAGCTTTTTTGTCGTCGATTACTCTTGAAAAACCAAAAAAAAAAAACATTTTCAGCCTTCCGAAGAAAATCTCTCTTTATACTCAGATGTATAAAGATCGTGCATTTGTATGTATAGAGAGACGCTATGAAATAAATATCGCATTACCAACACAGCTGTATATTTGAACATAATTTCTTGTACTTGCTCTCATACCTAATCTCTTTTATTCTTTCTTGTGGGAAAAATACGCGACACAATAGTTCACAAAGGTAGTTTTTTAACATAAGCTCCTCGTGCTTTTGTATGATATTCAGCAGAAATAGTATGTATTGGGTCTTTAGCCCCACCGAATTATAGAGAAATTGGAAAATATAATTCGACACGATTTAAGATGATGTTTCTCGCACCAGCAACTGAACTTGTATTATTTTTAAATCAAAGGTCACAGTTTCAATATTTAGGTCGACTGTAGGACGTGAATTTTTCTCAAATGAAATAAAAGCTGAGAAGAAGGAAAATCAATCGAGCTCTCACGAGTTACTTCCGTAAGTAGTGGCAACAATTAAAAAGCTTCGAAGAGCTTTGCCAGCGTAAAAGCTCGAACGAGCAAGAGCTAGAGAGAGAAAGAGAGTATAAGAGCTGCAGGGAAAATTGATTCACCCATTCATCCTTTTCTTTCGATGGGGGAGGAAGACGACGACTACGACGGCTCGTGTACGTTTCTGCTGAGCTATATCAAACGCACACTACTTGCGAGCAGTGCGAGGGAGAGGAAGAGAGGCCGCGCGCGTGTGTATATAGTATCGCGTGTGAACGTCGTAAAACCAGAAAAGCTTTTGGCTCGAATGACAGCTCTTCGAAGTACATGGCATACTACGGCCAGGCAAAGAGGGAGGAGCGGAAGCTCCGGGCTATTGACTGACCACTCTACTTTACTACACGACTGAAGAGACCACGGAATGTAACTAGAGTGAAGAAACGTCTTACTCCTTCTTCTCTCTCGTCTTACTCGCTCTATCCTATCTGCAGTCGCACGCACGCGTATTTCTATATACTTTTTGAGCTGTACTACTGCCGCTGCTACTGCTGCTGCTGCTGCTGCTTCGATGGAGCAGCGAGAAATAAAAAATAACTCGACCTGCGAGGTATTTTTCCTTCCTTTTTTTCCTAGATTAAAAAATACGACACGCCAGCGAAAAGAAACTTGGAAAAGCGTTGAGAGAGGAAAATTGGAAGGTTAAAAATCGGAGATTGACGTGGAATGCTCGGAGTGGAAAAAAGGAAGAGAGAGAGATTCGAGAGCGAATAAAAAGAAGAAAATCGTCGTACATGCACGTTAATGAAAGAGAAAAGTGTCAGCGACTCGAGTTGTCCATCACGCTATAGGGCAAGCGGGCACGTAAATTCCATCTAGCTAAGGTTTAAGCGATTGCAGCGCACAACGTGCTACGTATAAGAGTGCGCGTGCGATACGGGTCAGCGGCGCGTTTATATGCATGAAAAATAACCCGTACATCTAAAAATGTTCAAATTCAGCTAAATAAATGTGCAAGCGAAGCAATTACTCACGGACAGGCTTTGGCCCGAGTATATACGTTCTATACGCGCAGCAGCGGCGGCAGCAGCAGCACTGACACGCATTTACACATGTGCAGAGCGCGAGTATGTATGCACAAAAGCTTCGGGCGCGCGCGCGAGCTTGCGCGCATATATATAGGACCGTTAAGATCACGATTCAAACATTAATTACTCCGGGCAGCGAGTGCGAGCGCGAGAGAACGGGGCACAAATAGCAAAATTGATCAACGACGTAGGAGTTGGCCGCCGCAGCCGCTGCACACCGCGCGCAACCTATGTATACGCCCGCAGCAGCAGCAGCAGCAGCACTGCAGCACTGCAGAGCACAGAGAGAGGCGTGCACTTAATTATTCGAGAATTTAGCATATGTATAAGGTGCTATGCATGTATTTTAGAGATGAATGGAGATTCCCAAGTATCGACGCACTAATTCATTGGAGTGTATACGCACTCCATTACCGTGTATATATGCGACTCTGCGTTGCAAGCTCTACCGTCGATGCCGCTGCGCGTGATATATATATAAAGAGCGTATATAATGCAGCCTATAATATATATAGCATGCGGCGCACCGCAGCTCTTGAAATATTATATCATTTTTTGTTTACATTGGAAAATAATCGTCGACGATTTTCATTAAGGTATGGAAAATTCATCCCTTAAAATCTTCGGAGCATCGAGAGGTGGTTGGTGGGCTCGCTCGCTCGCCCCTTCCCGTCAGATTAGATGAATAAATTGGGTATACGCGCGCGGCAGCGGTTTATATGCCAGCGAGCGGTATATATAATGCGTATATATACACGCCCATGTAAATATCCACTTTATAACGCGCTTAATTATACAACTTGGCGCAATATTTGCCACGCGCATTCTCTCTGCTGTAGTCTTTAATAACGCCGTAAATAATTAATAATACGCGTATATGCGCGTGCCGTCAAATATTACGCGCACGCGAAAGCGCGAGCGAGTCGAGTCATATATAGCATTAAATAAAAAAAAAATATTGAAAAAAATAGGCGGGCTGCGCCGTGCGCGGGCGAGTAGCTGAAAAATCGTTGAAATCGCTTGCGCGCCTGGCTTCAAGCTCGTTGGCAGTTTATTGACAAGTATTGCGAGCCGCCGCGCGCCTGTTATATATCGAATGTGTGTACCTATATACGTATATAAACACACACATACACGTGACTCGGTGCAGCTGTAGAGAATTACTTTATAATTCGAGCTGCGGTACAGGACATATTGCGAGGAGCCGAGCGAGCGAGCACGACATGTATCCCACCAGCGCCGGCGTATAAATGCAAACGAGAAAGCGAGCGAGCGTATACATACTACTAGCTTGTGTGTGGGTGACTCACATACACACACACTCACACTCGTATAGAGATATGCACGCATATACACGTGGAACGCGCTGTGTAGAGACGAGTGGCACGTGCTAAAGCGCCGTGTCCCCTGAATTTTCAGGATTTGCATACTGTCTATGCTGCTGCTGCATCGCTGCTACTGTATATGTACACGCTCGGCCTGTCTCGCTCGTTCTCTTGCTCATTATGTGGAGCTCCACAGTCCACTGTTGCTGCTGCTGCTGCTGCGGCAGCAGTAGCGCCGCACGGCACGCAGTCCCCCGAAGCAACGTTCATGCCTGCCCGCGCTCATTCGCCATTACGCTTGCCCAGGCGTGCGGCCCTGCTGCAGCTGCAAGCTGCCATGTTGCAAGCTCCGCTGCTGCTGCTGCTGCCCCGCGCGCGATATCGAATTTGACCATCTATGGAATTTTTGTAACTCGCTTTCGTATGTGTATTTTGACATTTTCTCTTGTTTTAACCATTGATAATGTAGCGTAATCATATATTGAGGCGAAACTCACTTTGAGATAACGTCGTTTGGCCGAGGATGAAAATTTTTAATCATTTTTTGACGATATTACTCGACTTATTTCAGAATACGAAGCAGAAAAATTTTTTTCCGTTAATAAATTACAGTGCCAAGAGAAATGAAATTGAAAATCGCTCTGAAAAAACAAGCTTTTTATATTCCAACCGAAACGAGCCGAATCCCGTGTAATAATAATAATGATAATGATAAAAAAAGAAACTATAAGTTCTCAAGAGCAAGATCAATGAAACCAATTAGAGTTCGTTTGCGTTCAATCGTGAAAGAGTAAAATCCGATACTAGCTAGACAATGAGTGCCAGGAATTCCCTCTCTGTCTGTCTCTCTATGCTCGCCGAGTTTCTCTCAGCCCTTCCCATCTCTGCCGGCGCGCTCTCTCTCTCTCTCTCTCTCTCTCGCTAGCTATATACGCGCGCGCGTTAGCTACGTTTCTATCTCGTTCACGTCAAACAGCGGAATTTCCTGTCCTATTACTAAAAGGGATCCGCGCGGCGAGACGGGGCACGAAAGACCTCGGGAAAATCACGAGGCTATTAGGGGATAACTTCTCGCGTTTATGGGGGCACCGATGTGCACGCGCGTATACGGCTAATGAGTATTTCGAAATGTTCAAACGCAGCGGCTCGCAGCAGAGTAATTTCGAAAAAGTACATGCGTTACGGGGACGTGTATTGCACGCGAGTAATTATTTCCAATAGGACGCGAGCTCGTCTCGTGCATGCGCGGCCACGGCTTATTTGGATTTCACTGCGAACGACGACGAACGCCCGGGCCGCGTACGAAAGAAAGCGAAAGAAAGTTCTGAAAACGAGAGGATAATCTCCACTCGTTGCCGGCTCTCTTCAATTTTCGCTAAAGTATAAAGAGCTATTATAGCTTTTCTTATTCTTCTGCTACGCGAAGCATCAAGCATCGTCTTTATAACAACGCTGCTGCTCGCTGCAGATTTTTCCTTCTTTTTTATTCCATTCTGTTGCACGAAGACCGATTGATACTGCCACTGTGCTGGGCTCTGCTCCGCTGGGAAAATCGAATTTTCCGTTAGCTAGTAAGTCGAGTCGTCGACGTCGTCGTCGCGCGCGCGCGAGCAAGAGAGCTCGAGCTGCTGAGCACGAAAACTTCACCGTCTCGAACACACATACAGTCGAATTTCATAATAGTAAGTATCGAGACTCGTCCCGGTAGCCGAGCGTTCATATCCGATTACAAGTCCAATTCTATTTGTTTCGGTGTTTTTTTGTTTGTTTTCTTATCGTAATTGGATGACGTTAAAGACAAATGCACTCACCGAGAACGACTAGCTTGACGGACCTGCCGACGATGCGATTACCCCGTTCGTCCTCGATTTGGCATTTCCAGATGCCGTCGTCCTCGAGGCGTACGTTGTCTATGTGCAGCGCCGCCGTGGTGGAGTCGCCTATGTATCTGTGCCCCGTGCCGCTCATCTCCGTCCTCGTGTCGATCGTTATCATGTCCACCGGTGCACCTTCGTGCAGCCACGTCGCCGGTCGGATTCGGTAGCTTCTGCAATAAATTCAGCGAGAATAGCGATACAATGAGGGGGCGAATGTAATTTCGAGCGGACATCTCGAACTCGAGCGGCAGCAAAAAAAAGGGGAAAAAGCTCGGGAAAAAATACGCGAAAATAAACTTACTTGACTGCGGGCATGAGGAGCTTGGTGGCGTTGCCCTCAAGCTCGCACGGCAGCACTACTTTGCTGAGAGGCTTGACGATGATCTCTTGACTTGGCTGAGTGGCCAATAAAGACAAGGACAGACTGCTGTCGCCTAACGACGACGACGACGACGATGACGACGAAGCAGATACGTTGAGCGAAAAATTGTCCGTATCGCCGCTAGCGGCACCCCACGCGGCTTCGTCGTCGGCAGCGGCAGCGGCGGCAGCCAAGAGCGCCTCGGCTTCGACGATAAGCTCGTTCTTTTCGCCATTCGGTCGGGTCGTTTTTGTATCAGAGGAAGACGATACCGTCGACGATATGGCCATATTGGCCGCTCCACTGCTCGTCGTTACGGATCGTTCTGTGCTCGATGTTCTGCTGCCCCTTTTGCCACCGACGCTCTCCTGCTTGTCGCGCAGCGCGAATAGTCCAGCCTCGTTAACCGAACCTGCACAAAAGAAACAAATGATTTGGCTCGTTAGTTATTGAAAATTGATGTAGCATTAAAGATAAAAAAATATCACTTGAAATTGTTAATTAGGTGGGATATCTTTTTTTTTAAATGTTTCTGCTCAGCGAAAACGATTCCAGGTATTAAAAAAGTGGCAAATGAGGTTCACCCGTAAGACGGTAAAACACGAATCTTCGAAAAAGCTTCCGCGCCCTTTATACAAATTGAAGAGTCAAGGAAAGCAGAAAGAGAAGGAGAGAGAGAGCGAGAGAGAATTATATAAGAACGACGCAGGCGGCGGCAGTGGCAGACGAGGAGAGCGCCTGCTGCTGCACGCGTTACAACAACATACCGGCGCTGAGTGAATTGAAGATGTTGCTCTATATACCGGGGCTGAACTAATGGAGTCGAGAAGAAGTAGAGAAACGTTGAACAAGCTGCTGGGAAGCTTTGGAGTAATGGCAGGCGAGTTGTAGAATGACTTGGAGAGTGAGAGCCTGGAAAGCGAAAGAGCTGCAAAGAGAAGATCCTCTCTTGTACCGCAGAAACAAGCGAATCATTGCCGCAGTGACTCAGAAACCTTTACCCCCTTATACGCAGCTGCAGCTCTGCACCGAGGCTAAAGGAGACGGCAAAGACACCAAACTTTGCGTCCCATCCGGACGCCGAGTAGTTTTAGTTTGAGCAACATCTCCTTGTGTCTCGGAGACCTAACTCGCTCGTTATTTTGCTTTTTATTTCTCTTCGTCAAGCTCTCTCACTCGGGGGCATTAGATGATCTCGAGCCATAAAGTTATCGAGTTAAACGTCGTCGGGGCGCGATGGCCTAATTCGAGTGACTGTTGTTTTCCAACTTTTCAAGAGTCATCATTCGGGTTATACAGTATTATTTTCTGCGCTATCGAATCGAGAGGCGAACAACTGGCTTTTTGTGCGAGCTGTAGTGCGTGGAAAGAGAGAATAATACGAGTGAAGCGCTTTTTTCCGTACGTGGGGGGAACGAGCTTTATGAGGAGCACGAAATACATCATGGATTTTATCAAATGAGATCTTTTGTTTTTAATATTTCTCTTTTTGCATTTTAGAAATATGGATTTCAACAGGTAGAATATTGATATCATATAGCTGCTCGACTGAACGCATATAGACGTCAGCAATTTTTGTGTTTCGTTCGAGTCTGCGAGCACGTTGTTGAACCGCACATTTATCTTTTCCGTTGAAAATAACTCTTTTTTTATTCTCAGTCAATATCAAAAATGACAAATATATGCCAAGCAAACGAATGATAATTGAAATATTAAAATTTTTATTATTGAAGCTCGAAAAAGCATGTTTTATTTCGATTGGCGCTTTTGGCCACAGGCGTCGGGCGCGGCATATACAATGATTAAAATGAGATGAGAGAGAGAGAGAGGCAAGTGAGGAAGAGATAAAATAAATTTAAAATGTGACTTAAAGCATGAAAAAAAATTGCAATTCGCTCTATAATCTACGAACCTTGCAGTATTTCGCTCGAGTTAAGAAAATAAACAAAGCGCTTTGGTCTGTATTTATCAGGGTATTTACTTTTAATTTACTCAAATCCAAGATAAGTCGAGCAAATAATGGAAAAAGCGAGAAACGAAGTATTCTCTCTCTCTTTTTCTCTCTCGCGCTCTCTCTCTCTCTCTCTCTCTTTCTCCTCTCACTTCCGTGCAGCACGCGGAGCTCACAGAAGTTCACATTGAAGGAGCTTTACCGCGGGCACGGCAAGAAGTTTCGATTTTTGTTGGGTAGTGACAATTCCTTATTACGCGACCGCGTAAAACGAACGAGACAACTGCTTCTCCTTCTTTTGTTTTTATCGACGGCAAGCTTTTCTTCTTTTTTTTTCGCGTGTACAAATAAAAAATATAAAATTCCATTATGCGTACGCGTGTGTACTTAAGAGATCATGGGCACTGCCATCGATGTTGTTTCGCCTCTGCCAACAAAAATTATCGATGCAAGTTTCGAGCAGAAAATCCAAGTTCAAGTTGGCAAACATTTATGCTTCGCGACCGACTTTTAGCGCTATTCAATCGAGTTTATTTTAAACTATGTAAGTTCGAAACAAATATTTGTTCATGCGCTCTGTTTTTATTTGAATACCAAAAATATTGATGATAAAATTTTGCATTTGTCAGTAGCTTATTTTGAGGTCGTTGTTGCAAGCTTTATTCAAATTATGGCGGCAACCAGAGCGTATCTTAATAACATTAGGGTGAGGTTTCTGCAAAATATTGTAAGGCACATTTTTATGCATGCAATTTTCCGCTGAAATTTCATTTTTAAGTGTCTACTTGTATATTATTTTATAAAAAGCAAAACTGAAAACACAACTTTTACCAAAATTTTCAACGAACCTTTAATTTAGATTGTTTGAATCGACAAATGTATTTTTTATTCAATTATTTGAAAAATCTTTCTTCCACTATTGCTTTTGTCTCTCATTTCTACGCGTATGTGCCGTCTATTCGTCTTTTGATTTTGCCCATTTTTCGTTACTTAATGTGAATTTTTCAAATGCATAGCACAAAAAAAAAAGGCGACGTATCGGCAGGTGCGATACAATTTCACCGAGTTTACTCTCCACTGTACTTATACATAGGTAAAAAGATAAAGATCGCGAGAACACGTAGCAACTTCGAAGCCCTGCGCTTGCGCGCGCGCACAAAAAAAACAAGAATACGTATGAAGAACGAAGACGAAGGCGAGGAAAAAAAGGATTCGCGACACTGCAGTGGCAGTATTTCCACGCTCAGAATCTATCTTTTCGCCAAATTCACAGCACGAACTTCTTTGATGGCACTCGGAGTGATTCTCATATACCCTTATTCTCTCTCTCTCTCGCGCGCGCTTTCTTCGGCCGCGAACAATATCTTCTTTTTTTTCTTTCTCGCCCACTCCCTCTCTATCTCTTGCTTGTCCGTAAAGGAGCCGTAGTGTACGTGGCACACGACGCGCACGCAGACACCCAGCCAAGAACATCTCTTACATGTACGTAGCGAGCAAGAGAGCGGTATGTTGCCACAGGCCAATTTCGCACGGTCTAATTCCGATATCGATGCTCTTCTGACTTTTTTTTCTACTCTCTTTCTCCCATCTCCTTTTCCTGCGGAGAGAAAGCAGGAGAGAGAGAGAGAGAGAGAGAGAGATAGAATCGTGAGTTGCAACTCTAAGGGGATGCACTAGCAATAAGTTCAATCATTTCACCTTCCTGACCCACTGCGCACTTGCCAGACTTGCCTCGAACATTTCTAAATTGAAAATTTTTCTTTAACGGAAAGCGTATCTCTCTCTATATATTTCTTTCCTCTTTTGGATTCGAGAAAAAATCGCCTTTTTAAAGTATGCATCCAAGACCTCGAGTGATCTTTTGGTTGGATACATTTTTCGTAAAATTCTGAAATGAAATAAACAGAACTGACGAGCAGTAACTATAACGACGGCGCATTATGGTCTTTGCTTTATGCGACCATTGGGCGGTTGATAAATAGCGGTAAATGGAAACTGATTGGACTCGGAAAAGGCAAATGCATCGAAGCCGTTGCGATTAAGTGTATGAGTTTGTTTGGCATGGGTTTCTGCCGCTCGTGGCTATAGGGAGCTTCCATTAGCGCGAGCTTCATCCGGTCGATATATTCTCCAGAATTCGCTCTTCCTCCTCCTACTCCTACTCCTCTCGCTCTTCTCTATCTATTCATGAAACTTCTCTTCTTTGCAATCCAAGCTGACCATATCCGTAAGTCCTGCAGACAGCTACTTTATATCAAACATTTAAAGTTCAAAAGAATTATGAAATTATCAGCGGCCAGCATTCACAGAATAAACTTGGAAAATCAAAATTTCGTTTTGCAGCGACCGATAAATCTCGCTTGCGTCTAACGAGTGTGTGCGCGCTAAGTTTTGCCTGAATCATAGCCAACTGAAACATGTGTCTCGAGCGTATATTATATACTGCAATGAAGCTTGAGGAAAACAGAGCAAAAAGTTGCAGCATCATGAGCCAAATCGCGCATGATCTCAACACTATACATACTGAATATGTTTGTGCTCATATATACAAGTTACGTTTCTGCACAAAACCTGAACATAATGTAAAAGCACATATTTTATGAAGTATCGGTAAATAATTTCTTACGACTATTTTTTAGAAAATTATTTATTTTCAATTCAGGATGAGAGAGTTCAAAATTTAAGTTTACCAATTTTACTGTAGCTTTTTTCGTTTTATCCTTTGATATTCTATATAAAATGCTTACAATTGTCAAAATTAACAACATTATTTCCAGACTTGAATGCAAATAGGTAAACATTGAACGAGAATTGAGTTCAAACTGTTTTTTCAAAAGTTTACATCCATGTCAAACGTGTCCACAGAATTTTAACTTCAATAAAAGTCATTGATTGCTCGGTGAGGAACAAAAAACTCATTTGTTAAAAGGCGTATATACACTGATGGTTGCAAACACGAATAGTTTATTCCACGTTTATAACACTGAAACTCATGGATCATTCCTGGGCCGTGAGCTCGACCCATTTATTTATTTAAAAAATCTCGTTTGATATCATCACTTTTATATTTGCCCGGACTGTCGCGCTTTCGTCGTCGTTACAAATGAAAAATTCATAAACACGTATATTTGTTATAAATTCACATAAAGCCCGGCTCATGCTCGGAGCGCAAGACATACGCATTTGAATTCACAAAGTCACGCGTAATCGACTTTGTGCAAATAGTGGAGGTGACGAGATTCTGTGTTTGCCCTCGATGCATATCAGGAATGAATTAATGCGGGAAAAAACATAAAAAAACTCCAAGCCGATTTTAATGCATCGATATATGGACGCAAACGAAACTAACGCTGTATGTAGGCCTGAGCATGCAATCATAAATTGTTTGAAATCTCATTTCATTCGAGAGAATATATGCACACAAGTTTCATACGTTATTCACGAAATATAAAAGATATTTA